TACACAAAACACGCGTCTGGTGAACTAAGTTATATATGGTATCTTTAATGAGTTTTTACTGATACAGGATTCGAAATGATGTCTGATGATTTCCGAATAGTGGTACATGTAGTTTCCAGAGCAACAAACAAAACATGTATATGTCATTGCGTAAAAAAGGGTTTCACACCCATAGTACACCTGGTCGGCAGCATGAACATGTATATAAATCAACAGATATAAAACCCGAACACCAATTCTCACGCAATTGAAAAGAAAACATACAATTTACGACGTGAATTAGTAGAAACGTTCAAAACTAGCAGATGTTGTCGCTTAGCTCGTAACGCAGAACCGTCAAGGGTCGATAACTCTGTAACACAACATGCACTGGAAAATGAAGTCAAAATACAGCGGGCTGAAGTTCGTTTCACTCGATAAACAGGAGGAGAATGAATTTTAAATGATATTGTTAAAGACTAAGATTTAATGTATGTAAACTTCGATGCGGATCCAATCCGACTTGGATATTTATAGGTTAAACTGAGGAGATACTAATCTCATTCTCAACATGAAGTAGTGATCTTTCTTTTACAACTGCCAATAAATTAAAACTTTCATCAAATTTAAAACTAAATTGTACCTTTAACATGTAGACGTTGTTAGAATAAAAAGGTGTAGGCTCTACGTGGAGGTCCACGGAACCTCTCAAATAAAAAAGACGTTAAAACGTCGGTTTTATAGGAAATATTCAATGGATGTTTTATTCATATGGAAAAATGCACAATTTTATTTTCCAGTCATGTTGGGACAAAATAAAGACTTAATATTCTCTCATTTCAAAGTTATATTGTTGCCATTTGTACATGAAATAGTGTTGCCATTTGTACATGAAATGTTTTATATAGTACTGATTTCAATAAGATGGGGAACTAAGAATATAAATTCAGAATGGAATGAGAAATAAACATGCATATATATTGGCTATAAGGTTAAAGCTTTTTGTGTCCCTTTTCTCGTCAATTTTGATAAATATATAGGATTTCTAATATTTGGTTTCGAACAGCAATGCTAATGAATAATAAATTTTCAAAATTTGTGTAATTTTGTTTTAGGCTATATCAATATTTCGTTCGTCCAAGTTTTGACTCTCAGTGTTTCTGATGATGAAAAATCTGTAAATGGTATATCGACTGCATCATGATAAACGTTAATTTTAATTGATTCTATACGTCAAGATGCTCTTTTTGAACGTGGCGTCACATGAATTCTGATATTGATATCAAATGGCTTAAACTACTTCTGTATTTAAGAAACCGCATTACAACTTTTGCATGAATTATCACTTTATAAACCATAAAGAGAAACGAAGCTGCCAAAAGAAACGCATACATCCATACAATTAGAAAATCTGATTAAAATAACAGACACAACAGGTATACAGTAAACTGGTAAACATTTTGGTGGTACCAGGACAGGTGCTGTTACAGCTGATTTGAGTGTAAATATGAAAGGAATATCACCCTGGGACATAATATATTCCCAGTATCACCGGAAAAGGTTGCTATGGTGGTGGTTCAATTTTATTTAATTTGGTTATCCAAAATTACATAAGCACTGTCATCAGAACAGTCAATTAAGTAAAAAATTACTGTAAAAAAGCATTAAGAATTTTATTCAACCTTTGATAAAAATGTTACAAAACTTGATAATAATTTAAGCTGACTACTAAAATTGAAAGTTTTAAATCATTGACTGGAACGCAGTTTACCAGTGGACAAGCTGTATATCAAGAGATTAACATATGGCGCCATACTTGTAGGTAGTCGAGTCCGGTTGCCCGAGGGACATAGATCTTTTACACCTCTGATGAAAACTTTGGCGTTAAATTGTCTGTTGATATTTATAAAGACAGAGTTAAAATAAATTATACGCGACCGTCGTAATACGTTGTAAATATCAAATTTTTATTAGGACAGTGACATACCCGGTAAACGAATTAAAATTGTAACACTTTTATTATCTTGACATTTAACGTATTCTAAATAGATTTTTGAAAATTTTTTACACTCCATTTTTATAAACGTTAGCCATTGTATTATTACAGTATATATAGTAAGGCATTGGTTATAGATATTTCTGCCATATCAACACATAAACTATATACATGATCATAAGATTTTTGAAAAATTTTCAGTAACACTTTATTATTTTTATCGGTAAAGAAAGCTGAAATGATAAAAGTAATTATAAGCATTATAGTATATGGTTGGGGTTACAGATATCTCCAACACATAATTTACGCACGATTATATAAAATCTTATTATATTGTTACTCCCCATAAGTTGAGAGGGGGGCATATCCACATCAGGTATTCATTGTTACTCCCCATAAGTTGAGAGGGGGGCATATACACATCAGGTATTCATTGTTACTCCCCATAAGTTGAGAGGGGGCATATACACATCAGGTATTAATTGTTACTCCCCATAAGTTGAGAGGGGGGCATATACACATCAGGTATTCATTGTTACTCCCCATAAGTTGAGAGGGGGGCATATACACATCAGGTATTCATTGTTACTCCCCATAAGTTGAGAGGGGGGCATATCCACATCAGGTATTCATTGTTACTCCCCATAAGTTGAGAGGGGGGCATATCCACATCAGGTATTCATTGTTACTCCCCATAAGTTGAGAGGGGGGCATATACACATCAGGTATTCAATCATGGATGTTTTTTGAACCGTCGAACCTTCATGGACTAAAATTGCACTTTAAAAAAATATTTTAGGTTAATTCGAAAGGTTAACTTCGGTAAACAAACACATACATCTTATTCAACTAACCACGTGTGTATATAAATCATCCTTTTGAGGTTTACAGAACATGATAACAAATACCTATATCATTTGCCATCTATGGGAACGCTACTATAAAGGGGGTGTTTGACGACCTTGACTACCCATGAGGGTCTCGTACGGTCGGTATGGGTACGCCAACTGCTAACTTAATATATATATAATGCTATGTTCCACCGTTGTACTATCCGACCATGCACTGCATTTTATAATTCGGATTTGAACATCTACATTAAAAAAAAAGAAATAAGAGGTTCAAAATTCAAAATATTTGTGTTGACATTTTGTGCAGAATGCACAATTTAAAGACATTGTTATATATGAGATACAAGATCTATAGAATGTACTGTTCACATTGAATAAAGGGAGAGTACTCGGTTATTAGCAGTAGAACAAACATTACAATATGAAACAATAGTTGTCTTGTAAGAGTTGACTGTTAAGATAAAAAAAATAGCTATTTTATATGTGCGCTCACCAGGCTCTTGAAAGACAAAATTTAAAAAATACGAATTCTTATACACATACATAGTTACAAAATTACAGGACTAGTTATATCGACTACTGCTTCACATAGGAGCTGCATTCAAGTCCGTTTTTATATAGAAAAATAGCTATGAAAATTATTTTTCTTGTACACCTATAACCTTTATCAACTTAATAATATAATTAGTATGATGACATCATTTAACCTTACGCTTCCTGGTACGACCTCTTTACATCGTAAATTTTAGGACAAGTTTTTATCCGTCATTTATCATATTTCATGGTTTGAAATATTCTATAAATTGGAAACAAATCAATCAAAAGACACACATAGCGTTAATTTTACACTCAGAAAATTAATTTGATATTCATTTGATTCTTTTAACGCCAACAATCTATCAATCATTAGTTCAAAATATGACGTCACTTTGTAAGAACGCAGAAATAAGCGTGCAAAAGCCCTTGAGCCAACACAATTAAAATGATACTTCCGCGTTTGAAGTTTATGATTCAAAATCGCTGTTTATGAATTTTTAATGAGCATCTGCCGAAATCCGTCATAGTTTTAGTGTAGAACAAGCAAATGACTCAGCAGTTAACTTGTAAACATTTATAGCAATCTTAACCTTAAGGGTTTTATTTACTGTAAAACGATAATACATGCAAGGTGTTTTATGTAATATTGATGTATCGTAATGTGACCGCAAAGGGGTGCCGATCTTTGATTGTTAAATCAGGCAACGGTCACAGGGCATTGCCTTATTGCTACCGTTAGCGTTTTATAAAGTTATTCTATTCTTTTGTTTTTTATGTTTTTTAAAAGAAGTTATTATTTTTCTGTTGTTTTTTTGTATGGTTGTAAAAGAAGGAAATTATTATTAAGAGCCGCTTATAAACAGATTTACGTAAAGCAATCTTTTAGAAAATAAACTTTGCTAATAAAAAAACTTTTTAACACCCATCGACGGAATGGAATACATGCTTGAAAAATTAGTTTTTGGTTTTTAGTTCATTTTTCTCTATATTTTAATTAATTTGTCTTTATTCTCTATTCTTTATATTTAAGAACCCAATTGTTACATTTTTGTCCTTTAATCTTTTTTTTTTTTTTCCTTCTTTTTTTTTTATTAGTTTGCCCATTTTTCTCTATTCAGATCCTCATAAATTGATCAACATTTTATTGTTTGTTAACATTTCTAAACTAATTTCATTTCCACTTCACTAAACTTAAGTGAAATCGCAGTTATACATATAAGAATGCACTTTATGTAATAAATACAAGAAACATATAAGCAAACTAATTTACACATCGTTTTTATCAAAGGAAAAAAAAACTAAAATATCATCGACTTAAAACGGTAACATTTTAAAATCTTTTGTTTGTCAATATGAAAATGCATCCAATGTATTATTTATTCTGTCATAAAAGTCTAAAATAGCATATCATCTATCAAAATTTCACCTTTAAAGTGATGAATTTCATAATTTTTGCAACATGAAGTGTTGATTTTCAGTTTACGATCATGTTGTGTCACAACTTATTAATATTGCAATTATTGTCTATTGTTTGGGACATGTCATTCTGATAAAATGCGTTTAATATGCTAAATGTTTTCCGTGCATCATTGATCATAAAACATTTTAATATTAATTGACTTGTTTTTATTTTTCAGTGGAATTAAATGGCGAACCAATGTTCCTGTTCAATTTATCGTCGGTTGTTAGAACAGAAAGGGTACTAAGTGCAGAAATTCATTTGTACAAACGTAAGCAAAAAAAGCCGAACCTATCTAAGAAATTAGATAATAGCAGACGTAAACAGAAGAAATTGAATTGGTCAAAACATCACGATATTAACGTTAAAATGTACGAAATAGCGCCTCACTATATGGCTGAAAATGGCAAAATTACAATGAGAGTCGAAAGTTTTGGTTGGCAATGGTATGACGTCACTAATTCTATTCTGAGTTGTCTGGCTGCCAGACGGGATATTCCGCATCTGTTTGCTTTGAATTTTGTCTTAGAGAAAAGGCATGGAAAAGTTAAACACTTGAATTTAAGAAAATTTATCCGACAACATTCAAAGCCATTTCTCATTATTTATTCCAATGATACACAAAGCATATCTTTAGATAGTTTTAAAGAAAATGCACCAGCTGATGTTGTTTTAGAAACGGGTAATTTGACACCAACAACAGACCTACCTACTGCAGAATCTACATCAGGAAGCGAAAATGAAAAAAGGAATAAAACCGAAACACCTTTAGATTCAAACAGATCAAAACGTTCCATATTTACAAATGAAATCCCCGAAGACCCAGCAGATTATGAAAAAATTAACAGACGTTACAATTTACCTCAGACTCATCCAAACATTTTGAAAACAAGGAGTGAAAGTAGAATAAAAATAAAAGATTCTATGTTGATTCCATATCCAAGCAAAGACAATATCCGCAAAAATAAGCGACGGAAGCAAAGACGGAGGAAGAATAAAAAAAGGAAAAATCGTAGAAGGAATAAGTTATTTTTCCCCAAAGAATGGGATAATTATCATCCTAATTCTGCTAGTGTAGAAAATACTGAAAACTTATGTGGTCGAAAAAAACTAGTGGTGGACTTTGCAGATATCGGATGGGGTGATTGGATAATTTCACCCAAGTCATTTGATGCTCATTACTGCGCAGGCTCATGTCCATTTCCTCTGACAAAGGTGAGTTTGGATATTTATAGCTCTTGTATAGAAAGGCAACCATGCATCAGATAAATAGACCCATATGTATAGGAGCAAGGCAACAATTATTTGTCTGCATTGTATACATTTTACAATTTACTTCATATAATGCAGCTTCTAAAAGTACTTATTGAACAATTGACAGCCTAAATCAATCACGAATTTGACAAATACTGATAACCAAAAAGAAACAAAAAAGTGCCAAATCTTGCTATAATCATATAGAAAGCGATGGATCTGTACGCTCGGCCCATTTAATGTATGCATGATAAAGATACACGATTATAATTCAGTTAATTTCGGATTCGCCTACATTAGACTTAACAGTTGAGCTGTTTGAAGAACAAATTTGGGAGTATGATTATTTTTTTTCAAAAGTATTCTGCAGGGTTCAGATACATTTTTGCATGCAGGTGGAAATATGCGAGATGAATCATTGCGTTTTTATTTTCGCATAAACATAAAAACATCGCAAACATTTCTGAATTAACAGTATATATTTAAAACATCATTAAAGTAGGAAAACTCTTAGTAGCTGCAATCTTTTACTAATTTATGAATTTATTTAAAGCTGTCAATGAACGTCACAAAGTTGATATTTGCTGTAGGATTATTCTCTAAATACCCTTAAGTAACTTATAAACCATTTGTAAACAAAATAGTTTTCAAAGCATACATTAGAGGTAAAAATCAAAAGTAAAGCTTGATTTTAAGACCAAGGTTATGACTTTTGTAATCGGTTGTAAGTTATTAACATCTTATTAATGAAGTCAAATGCTTGTTGACGAATGCCTAACATATTTTTTTTTAATTGACATTTCTCGCGTGGTTGTCCTTATATGACAGACTATTTTCAGACTATAATTCTACTAAAACTGTAAAATAAGAGAATATGGGAAAACATTTTGCCTTGCAACGGTCCATAAACAAACCACTCAAAGAGTTGTTGCAATGGCTTTTTAATGCGTTGTGGGCGTGGAACTTAACCTAGACGAGGCATCGGGTTTAAGGTACCAATTCCGACCGAACGTGACTGCGAATTTAACGATCCCATTCCGACCGGACGTGACTGAGAATATATCCTTGCAGCTAAACATATGCCCAACTTTAGCAAGGGTTTTGCTGTCGGAATTGGGAGAGTTCAGGCATTACCACATTTGTGTACCCTAGTTAACCATTTGGGGGGCGGGGGGCTCTATAGTACACTCAGTCAAACTATGTTTCTGTAAGAGGAACAAATACAACATAATACCATTTAATATTAAAAGATCAGTGAGCATGCTGAAATAAATTACAGTTAAATTTAATACATTATGTTTCATAAGAATCCATACTTTTGTTTGGCTGTAACCAAACGCGAGGCTTTCCAATATCAAATTGTATTTCTCAATAAACATTTATGACTGCACGTGCTTCCCATGACAACGTCACTATGTACAATGTGCAGAGAAAGGCAAACGTAAATCTTGATACAACTCGCAATTTCCTAGTTGTAACATATACGTGTAATTATGAAAATAGAATGCTTCATTTTTTATAGGGTTAATAAAAAGCGTTCATCGTGTGCACATTTTTAGTATGAAGTGCGGAAATGTGCTTCGGTCAAGGTTTTTACAACTTATATATCATTAAAAAGAGAAGCATTCAATTTTTAAACAATTAGCGGATGTACAAACCTACCAAACGAAATTTTGAAGGTATTGAACAAAGCATAACTAAATTTTTCAATTCTGGTGAATTACCTAAACACAATAATCATTTCATTTTGAATTCGACCACACTTACATAATCATAATTTGGTAACGCATAACTCAACAAATGAAAAAAATACCTTGTTTTTTTTAGTAGGTTTATATTTGCATTGAAATTTGGGGGTACCAATAGTTCATGCAAGCACATGCAGCTATCTTACAAAATTTAAAACTCAGAAGAATGCATAAAATAAAAACGTTAATATAATAAACGACCAAAAGACGAAACCCTTATTCTAAAAATGGACAAAGGTGACAGATGGATGGTCTTTTAATCTAAAGGTGAACTAAAATGACCGTTTATAAATAGCCTTTCCTGCTTGCACGTAATCATTGTCCTGAAATAAAGTAATCTTGGAAGTTAATTATTTTTTTTAGGGAAAATCCATAGTCTTGCACTTCACTTGATCAACGAATGAAGACGATATCTTTTTGTCCCATTGTTACACATAAATTGTTCACTTAAAGAATTATATTATACATTGTCAATATAAGTCTTTATCAAGAGTGTTCTAAGTTTAGATAAAATTCTATATGACCGCTCTTTTTTATTATTTCCTTTGAAATGTCGTCCTTCGTAAATATTTGTCTACAAACTCAGCATGTGGTTCGAACAAAATTAGTCAATTTTCTAAATAAACTATGGAGAAGAAAATCGTTTTTATTTATTTTCAGTAGTAAAGATTGGGTTATATGTATTATATTTCATTGATTCTTTCGGCATATTATAGATCAGTTTGTTGATCTTGAACCCATTGATAGGAGAATTTAAGATATGAATCTACCCTTAAATAAACAGTTTTTTTCCTAAGCTTTTCTGATCATTCAAGTGCGTTTGACACATATGTATTGTTAATTTGTTTTCTTCGGCTTGAATGACTTCTTCAGTTATACTATCCGGCGATTTCAATGGCCATCCTTTCTACAGGGCCTTGATAATGTGAAATTTAAAACTGTGTATGAAATGTATTTATATAAGTATTATTTTTCGTATTTGTAATTAATAAATTTATATGAAAGAAAAAAAATGTTCCGCATAGGGCTTGTAACGAAGACGAAGACGAATCGAATTATTGTATATTGTTTATATTCCGAAATAAATTACTGGCTATCCTGACTACGAATTGTACAATCTCATTTTACACTGAAATGTATATGACCAGATCATGTTTAAAAATGCAGTTAAAACTATATCACTGAAACGAACACTTTCGCATTATTATTACCCATTGACCTTAGTAAAATGGGCGGAGAATAAAAAGGCTTTGAAATAGATAACTTTCCGGGAGTACTTTACCTCCTCGAAGATTACTTAGGACTCATCGTGGTTAAATAATAGTTGATTTTTACGGATTTGAAGATAATGTGAACTTCTGTAATTATTTAACATATTTGCAAGAAACTTATTTGAAATTTCATTGCGAGGTCACTAGATATTTTTTTTTATGTCAACTGAAATTAATCCCCAAAATCAGAAAATACAATGCAATCAATTCGTTGAAATTCATTTTCACTTGCAATTTCTTGATGTCTTTTTAACATTACCAATAGCTTGAAATTAGCAGAAAAAAAGATATTAAAATTATATTCCTGAAGCAAACTAAGTATTTTATCAAAGCTGACTATGCGTTGACTCCCGCTAGTTCAATTTCTGTACGTTGATAACTATAAAAACACCTTTCGCCGTACAAAGAAGAAAATACAAGCGAGACCATCCTAGACTTAAGAGCTTTTATTTTCAATATTTTATCAGTGTGACATTAATACGTAAATGATGTTTAGGGCAAAAATCAATGACCACTATGGACAAAACAAATAGAAAAATCTTATTTAATTTGAAAATTCTATCTTAAAGTATTTGTTCAAGTGAAGTTCATGTGGTGATTCCGGAGTATTAAATAGCTTTAGCTTTTATAATACCTATTTCCATACTGTGCATTTTGTACAACAATTCAAAAGGTTCCTACAGGAGATTTTAATCATTTTTGCAAATATACACATTATAAAAACTGAATGTTTTTTTGTTTAAGGTCTAAATATGTCACATATTTCTATTTATTTCCAGTTATTCCTACTACAAATATTACACAGGAAGCTGCTATACGTTATTTTGGGACTATATCATCTTTGCTCATAAACATTTGTTATCAGCGTCTTCTTTAAAAAAAAAAGTTAAATTTTAGATCGAAGCGTTTTTACTGAATGATCAGGTTAAAAAAGAGATCACTTTAAAAAAAAATCAAATTCAAAACTACAATGTACTACATTTGTAACCTCACATTTCCCCTGACACGTCGCTCACCTAGTTAGTATGATTTTTATCAGCCCATCTGTCATTTCGAGGACAATACAAACTCAGGGTCTTTTCTTAGGTTAATTATAATGGTATTTAGTGCGTATTTGCGTTTTGACCATAACCTCGACCCCTGTTGGCTGTTCAAATTGAACTTCAAAGTGTAAAATCAGTAAATCCGATCAGTGGAGAAAATAAAACAGTTTTGAATTAGAATTGTAATGTTAATTAAAAATGTGCAATGTTGTGCGTTACTTACAGGGGTATTTATAATGTACATTAACCCATTATATGAAGACCAGAATATAATAACTTATATCCCAGCTCCTTTGTTTTACCAGGAGTGATCTGAGCCGGATGCCAGATCACCCTAGCTTGAGTTTCTTTGCATGCTTTCCTTCGTTCTGTAACATTTTGGCGGGAATATCAAATCCACAATAAAACTTAGAAATACTTATACGGAAAAGACTTACTATCAAAATTTGTGTAGAAAAAATCCAGAATCTATGCTGGGAATCGAACTCAAGACCTTTTGCATATAGACCCACGAGTCATACCCCTACACCAGAACGACTTCAAAGGAAGTAATGATGCAAACCAATACATGTGCACTACGTCATTTCCGTCAATTTCAATAGCTTACGTTCGTTTTAGATAAAAGGTTTTCTTTTGTTGTCAAGGAAATTCTGGTTAAAACAACAAACTTTTAATGTGTTCCCTGTAAGTACCCATAACTAATTTCACGGCGTTGAAAATACGCTGTTTACAGATTTTGATAAAATATCAGATCTTTGCAGCACCAGATATATGCACAATTTTCGGTGCTGCAGATAGCATAGTTTGAATGCTTATAAGCTGTGTCTGAGTGTATAACGTTTCCCATGGTGTCAATGTACCTAGTTTCCCCTTTCGATGCGTCTATTTTTTATTCAATATCTTGTCTATTGGTGTAGGTGACCGTGTTTTTTTTTGTATTTTTAACGATACTTTCAATTAAAATGCTAAGCTTGTGTGTTGTAATTTTATAATTTTAAATTTGAATGCGGTTTCTTTTACAGAGACTTCGACCAACTAACCACGCAACAATACAGAGCATGGTTCATGCTATAGGAATATACAAGGACGTACCAGCGCCATGTTGTGTACCAGATTCCATGTCGTCCGTAACTCTGTTGTACTTTGATGAAAGCAGAAACGTTGTGTTAAAAAATTATCCAAGTATGACAGTTAATTCTTGTGCGTGTCGATAGAACTGAAATCGAATTAAAATTGTAAATATCTCTGTTAGTCCCTTTTTATGTGTCAATGTAACATGCAAGAAGCGGTTTCATACTGTGGATTTAAAAATTCATTAACTAAAACTAATTTCGAATATTTCGAAAATTTTGAAACCGGAAATGTAATAGCTTCACTTCACTGCCAGCCAATAGCGGCCAGTAAGTTCATATTCCCTTTGATTGGATGGAAGTTAAAAATGAAGTGTTGACGACATTACAAACAATGCGTCGAAGGCGTCAGACTTTGTTGAATGCGCGCACTGTGCGTGAACAATCTACCTCATCTAAAGCATTAATTAGATTTATTTACTGGACACTCGCTTGGGTGAAAAGACTTATGAAGAGGTAACGAGATAAAACATGGCATTGAAGATGTTTTTTTTATTGCGAAAGTGTGTTACGATGGAAGTAAACGTTTTGTTGACTTTGAAAAAAAAAAGAATAAAAAAGGACACGGATGCAAATTATAGGAACATGTTACACAAACTGATGAAACTGAGGTACCTAAGTGTACACGATGAGTTATATAAAGACGTGTTATTTACATGTAATGTATGTATTTCAGGATGTTTATTTTAATGAATTCCATATTCTCAGGTAGATATCTCATTCATCAAAAACATGTGGAATAATTGTTATTACTTTACTTATGATTGGGAATTTTTCTACAACTTAAAAAAGATCTGAGTCATCCTTTTCTGGTACATGCCAATGTTTTGTTACTATTCCATCATTTTTAAACGTTTACATAATCATGAAATTTTGGAATCTAAATATTGCGGTTTTCAAGAAAATGTATGAATCATATGAATATTCCAATTTAGTTTAATTTTTCTTTCAATGTATTTTTTATTATTAAAAAAAAAGCATAAATGAAAGTCAAGATAAGTTGGATATTTCTTTAATCTCTTATCATCAAAATCACACATGAATTAAGTAGTTTAATTTGTAGTATTTATTGAAAAATATGTATCAATGTTATTGTTAAATTCATTTGTTGAAAATGTTAACTCATTTAAAATGTTTGTCACATGTTTAATCATTAATAACATTAAATGTCATTGATGTTAAAACCTTATATATGATAGTTTTGTTGTAATTTGAGGCATTTATATACCTTGCCAACATGGTGTTATTTCCATAATTTTGATCCAAATAGCTTACCAAGACAGACGATATGGAAAAAACCTCTTAAAACTTCAAAAAGATGGTAAAACGAGCTTCACTTAATCATATAGAAACTCATCGGATGCCATATGTTGTACTGGAACTGTGCACCCATCCAAATTTTTTTATGTAGACTGCACTTTCCAATAGAATTCGTTTGCACAAAATTTTATTTTGTGTACATTTGTTTGTCTGTTTATCTTGTATTAGTGTCTCTCGATGTACGCTTTCACCCCAACTTCCTATATGTTTTACATGTTTTTAGGAAGATTTGTAAAATTACAACAAAGGTACCAGTTGAAAGAATATACTTAGTAAATAATATCAATTCAGTTTATCTTAAAATAAAAACAATAGCGCTTATAGGTATAGCATAGATCAGTACGATCAAAATCAGGAAAATACATCATAGTACCCTCTCACTATTTCGTCTTCCTGGCGAATTTGTTAACTAATATTAGAAAAGGGAAATGTGGTAAGATTGCCAATGAAACAACTGTCCACTAGAATTGATGAAAGCAATTATAGGTCACCGTACGGCCTTCTACAATGAGCAAAACGCATACCGTATAGTTCTCTATAAACGGCCCCGACATGACAAAATGTAAAAAAATTAAAACAGAAAAACAAGTGGCATCCTTTATGACTAAACAATAAACACAAAACTATTATTACCGAAAACATTCAACAACAACCACTAAAATACATGCTCCTGACTTGGGGTAAGCACATACATAATGTGGCGGTGTTAAACATGTTTGTAAGCGCTCAACCCTCTCCTATCCTGGGACAGTGGTGTAACATCATATATTAGAAAAAAACGTTAAAAATCAGTTAGACATGGCTTGACTCATTATGGTTGGAACGAAGCACAAAAAAATAGCAAACATAAAGAAAAAGTATATAATGTACCGATCTAAGAGTCTTCTCAGGTAACTAAAGCTAGTTGAAATGTCAATATGTGGTTTTAAGTGACAACGTTTTCTTGCGGAATAAAGACGCAATCGTTAAAATATGCACAGGGATTCCTTAATGGTAATAAACAGCTAGAAAATCACACTCTGGGAAATTATATGTTTTCTACACCAATGTTATGTAATAAAGAAAAAGATGGATGGTAAATATGGGATCCTTATCAACGTATTTTATAGGAGTAAGGATCTGCTTACCCTTCCGGAGGACCTGAGATTACCTCCGGCCTTTGGTGGGGTTCGTGTTGCTCGGTCTTTAGTTTTTATGTTGTGTTTTGAGGAATGATGTTTGTCTCTGGTCGTTATTCGTTTTAGACTATGGCATTGTCAATTTTTGACTATGAGTTTGAAAATCCCTTTGGAATCTTTCGCATTCTGTATTTATTCTGATAGTTATATGTAATCTTACTTTAGGAGAGGCCCACCAGTTGCAAGTTACCACAAGAGGTCCAATTTAACACGATCTGATTTGAGCTGTAATAATTTTTTTGTCGCATACTATAAACGTAAAGGTTTAATCTTTTTTAAAACGTATACTTTCAATTACTTTCTCAGACAATGGTGCGTTTTGCCGAATGATTTTTTTTTGTGGAATCTAAATTGTGACAACTTAAAAATTAAGACATTTGGCACTTTTTTAAACTGTGATATAAATTGCGATTCTCTTTTTTCCGAAACCTCCCAAAAATGCGATTTTCCTAATCTATTAAACAGCGGCAACACCACTGCTACTGCTATACTAGAAAAGGCATTTTGTTGCTGTATCTCAGCTTGAAACGAGTCAGAAGACGTCTTACATAGCTAGAAGTCTGATGATAACCTCATCATAGATACCAGAATTGAAATGTTGTACGCCAGACGCGTGTTTCGTCTACAAAAGACTCATCAGTTACGCTCGCATAGAAAATGTTTAGAAGCCAAATAAAGTACGTAATCGAAGAGCATTGATAACCCATAATTCCGAAAGTTTTTGCCAAATACAGCTAAGGTAATATATTCCTGGTGTAGAACATCCTTAGTATTAGAATTAGACCGGCCTTTTCGGTTAAGATTTATATCCATTTTTATATGTATATGCTCGGGTATTCTTTTTCTTAATGTTATAAAAATTGTGTTTCCTCTATTTACGAGTGTAGATTGTTTGATAGATTTAAAGCTGTTTCCTTTTTATATTGATAGTCAGTTTAGACTATTGTTTAAAAATTAACTTGTAGTCAGTGAGTCCTGTCTAAACAAGGTAGAAATATTGTTATTTATTGGGAGCAGATAATCATAGAAAACTGCAAAAAGAATGTCTAGTATTGACTTAACATATGTTTAAATTGACAGCTGGCGACGAAAAATAACAATTAAAAAAAAATCTTATTTTTTTTTTTGTGAATTTGTGAATGTTGATAGCATGAATACGACATAACATTTCGTATTCCAGGGTAATGATTGCTCAACAGTAAACAAATGTTCCAGCACAGCTTTATATAATTGCAAATGTTTTATAAAAAGTTCTTGCTAAAATAGAACAATAGATAACCGTACCTTATAAGACAACCGAGACTTACAATTGTGTTGTTTTGTTTTGCAATTTATTATATTTGACAGCTGGTCCTCTTTTAAGGCAATATTCTCGAAATAAGCCATTCTTGGAAAACCGGAAGCCGCTACTGAATTTTTGCTTTTTCTATCAGAATTCACTTGATATGAGGTTGCAACTTACCATTAAATATTTATTTATGGAGTATACATGGTTAAGTTGACGATACCATATCGACAGAGTCGTCGTAATGACTTCGTTAACTGTTATAGGGTATATATGTCACAGATGACAACAGATAAGTTCCATTTGCCGTTACCACAGTTCCGTCCTCATGTCCGGATAGTTTAACATCACCAAATATGACTTTTCGCGACACGAACACAAAAAAACAAACCGCAAATCACTTTACTCAGCAATTTGTAGATGCTACTCGTAGAACATGAGCAATTTGTAGATGATACTCGTAGAACATGAGCAATTTGTAGATGCAACTCGTAGAACATGAGCAATTTGTAGATGCAACTCGTAGAACATGAGCAATATGTAGATGCTACTCGTAGAACATGAGCATTTTGTAGATGCTAATCGTAGAACATGGGCAATTTGTAGATGCAACTCGTAGAACATGAGCAGTATATAGATGCTACTCGTAGAACATGAGCATTTTGTATATGATACTCGTAGAACATAGGCAATTTGTAGATGCTACTCGTAGAACATGAGCAATTTGTAGATGCTACTCGTAGAATATGAGCAATTTGTAGATGATACTCGTAGAATATGAGCAATTTGTAGATGCAACTCGTAGAACATGAGCAATATGTAGATGCTACTCGTAGAACATGAGCAATTTGTTTAGTTTAAACATATTTTATTTGCTTAAATATGCAAAAGGGATGAGACACAAGTTAATCAAACTTATGAAGTCTTCTCCCATGAACAATTTATAACAATAAAAGTTTTACAAAGCATGCATGCAAACAATACATTATATACTAGTATATTGGATATGTAAAAAGATGATGTGTGATGATATGAATGGTTGTACACAATATACATGTATATGCACTTTAGTGTGCTGTATTACACAATTAGAAACCTCTTTGACCCTTTAATAAATTCATATACATTCTTTAAAATTCTTTCATTTTCATCATTACTTAATGACGAATCACCGGAGGTTAAGATGTTCAAATTTAGTAGAGAGTTCTCTGGTAACCAGTTCAGATTATTAGATAGTTTGATTCTTATATTCGTATAATTAGGACATTCAAAAAAAAAGTGAAATGGCTCTCCACGCTTAGCACCACAGCTACAAGACGGATCTGAAATTATATTGACTCTGTTAAGATCATAATTCAAAAAGAGGCTGAGCATCAAATTGAGTTAAAATGATGTTGAGTTTACGATTGCCAAATTTATAATGTTTAGGTACTTGGGCTTTTGAATTCAGTTTATTTGTAGATGCAGCTCGTAGAACATGAATATCTTCCTAAGCTCTTTCATATCACTTTCGTATAGATTAATGATATCATGTTTCTCAATAAACCATTCTTCAGTCCCTACTTGCATCTCATATATCCCACAGAACTTTAACATTATGAACACTATTGACACTAAAAGGTCTGCTGCATTTCCGGGACTATTTCGTGATAGACGACATTAAACTAGGATATATGACAAAAATGACGATTCAAACATTCCCATTGTGAACTTCCAATTTTGCAGTAGTGACATACACTTCTTTACTGTCATGGTCACGAATTGGTTTACAGATATGAAGTAATTGTATCTTGTAACTCACATGATAGATGCTTTTATTAATGTTAGAACTATCAAGAAAGTCGTCTGGTCTGTACATTGTTCGATTGTCTATTATACCCTATTGTGAAATTGTGGGGATTTGCATGACTGCTCAGGCAGTATCGCAGGAGACTCTTACCCTGTTGACGCATCGGGTCACTTTTGTTCAATGCAATTTCCTCGGGTTTTTGTTTTTATTTTTTAAAATATTTATTTGAATTGGAATCGCGTAGATACAAGCTTCTTGTTTTAGGTTTTGAAAAATCTTACTTTGTGAATAACCCCACGTATTCCAACAGCTAATAAGCCGACGATGATATCTCTTCAGTTTTGTTTTTATCTTTATTTTTATTCTCTAAATGGATAGTGAAATTTGAACAACAATAACACACTGTGGCCTCCAATTTATGTTTATTTGTAATCATTTTAAAATATTTAAACATATGTAAACTACTGTTACCCCTTTTTTATTCTAACAGAACACGACGTTTTTTGGTGGGGTTTAAGTTTTCTTTATACTTATATTTTTCATTTCGTCTTTTTCTTGTTGTCAGTTTAGTGTCGGCTTTTTTTTTTTATGTCACTTTGGAATCTTTCCCCCTGTTT